CACATTGCCTGTATCGCACAGCCAAATACATTAACGCCGCAGCAAGCGAAGTAATAAAGAGAAGGGACAGCGCCAAAACAATATGCGGCTGCAAAATGCCTCGACACACACACACACACATTCTCACACACCTATTTACAAGTATTGGTAGGAGAAAAGAGCTTCAAAAATGTGCTGAGAATTTCGTTAAACGAAAACACTGTTGTTTTACAGCCGCGAATATGCGAAATGACAGTCGAACGAATAACCAGACACAAAGAGTTAAGCCATACAGACACAAGAGATCTGTGGGTGTGGCGAGAGCGGCCCAACAAACATAAGCTGTATATGTATACACATTTATGTATGTGTATAAAAAGTGCAAGACCGGCATTTGAGGCGCTGTAAGCCAGCACTTTGGGCAGCAAGCAAAACTTTAACCGACGAAAGCGTGTTGCTAAAAAATTAAACAAACGCGCAAATATTCAGACAGTCATTTACATAATTATATACACGATGGTATATGTATATGTTTAAGTATGTGGCACATAAGCATAAGTATAATGTGCTGCCTCACATCGGTTATGTGCGTAAAAAACATATGGTCTGAAGCATGCTTAATCCAGCCACTTGCCCACGTGATATAAATCTGTATAACAACACATACTCATATTGTTCGTAGCATTAAAGATGTACCATATGCAACCATTTTTTTGTGCATTTAATTTATATTACACTTCCTCATTTTGTGCATCATTTTCACGCAAATTTCGCGAGTACTTAAATATATATAATATAGAGAAGTATGTACATATGTGTGTACATTAGAGCGGGCTGATTTACAGGAAGCCGATAAAAACGGAAAAATGTCGTATGCGGCAAATGTTTTACAGATCATTCCGAACAACTTTGCCTAAGAGACTATGGGTATAAACCGGTTTGGAGCCAGCGATGTTTAAGGCGAAGTTTTTAAGGGATCATAAGAATTTGTTCGTCAGTTTTTGACGTAAACGGTTTTAGACCCATAGTCTCTTAGGTAAAGTTATTCAGAATGATCTGTAGAATATTTTCCACATACGCAACTTTATAGAAAAATAATCGACCCGCCCTAATGTATGTTGCAACCTTATGTACATAAAGGGTAATCCATTTGTATAATAGTTTGTTTACTTGGAAACGCCTTTAAGCTTAATGGGGTATCGTAAAAGTTTTCTCGCGGTTCAAAATTGCATACTTATACTGGGACGGACAATATTTGCTTTCAGCAGCATTGCCCTCATTCATGCGCTTAAGATCATGGAAAATTGGAGTGACATGCTTTGGTGACATGAATAATGCGATATTAGCTTTCGGGTATATAAATTATGCATAGTGAATTTTTGTAATAATAGCTAAATGAAGTCACCGTATGAACCACCCTGTCAACATGCACATATCACTTTTTAATAATTGAAAAATAATTATCTGAAAAAGTGAACATTTAGATTGACATGTTTTATTGATGAGCTGGTGCTTTTATGAAAAAGCTCGTTTTATTGAAAATTAAGTAACTTTGTATGGATTGAGTCAGCCGTTGGATCATCATTATATCTAAAATATTACTAGTATATGTACGTGTGTAAAATATGTAGCAATTTTTTAATAACTTTTTAGCACGATTTTTTTGACTATTCTATAAAGGTTTACATATTTTAACACGATTCGTACATTGTTTTTTTTCTTTGTTGCGTTCATCAGATATGGATATAGAAAATAATATTGGGTGTATGCATTAATTCGAGCGGTTTTCTAAGAGAGAATAACTAGCAGTGAATTTAGAAAACTGTTTTAATTATGCAGAATTATAACTAATCCATGGTAACTAAAGAGCATAAAAAAACTATTCCAAGTCCTTTGAAAACTCACAGATCATACAATGTCACTTCACTTGAAATCTCGAAAGAGTTGAAATCGACGATTTCTCCAAACCATATTAACTGATTCTGCGCACACGACGGAATCTGCGGTTACCGGGCTGTAGACAACCGGACGGGTCACATGTTGCAGATAGTGAAAGGCCTGTCAATATAAGGGTTAGCTGCGTTGTAGATGCAAAATTCAGCTAATATTAAAACGAATTCTATAGCTGAAACCACAATAAAGCACCACAATAACCACCGCCGGTCCGATACTCCAGTGTGAGATACAGAATATAATGATGATATTGACTGATCTAAAATAGAACAATTTGATAGAAATTTATTTAAATCACTTCGTATGAAATTCTATACCGAATTATAACATAAAAGTTATGTTAAATCAATTGTGGTTGCGAAGGTGTCATTTTTCCTCTCCAGAATTATAATTTTTTTGAATCTCATTATCCAATTTTTTTGCTTGGAAGTTGCAGTCGCTTTGTACACGATCTCTTTATTTTTATGTGACTAGATCAATGTTTCAACATTATATTCGCTTTGATTGCTTCCAATTAATTAGTGTTCCATTTCAGCAGCATTTTGCAATTATTCGGAACATGAACTTTCAGTTCAGTTTTTTTCATGCTTGGTCGAGTTGCTGGTATGGGTACTTAAAGCTACATGTTCACCAAAATTTTTTTTTATACTTTTTTGTTATAAAAAATGGCAGATCGATATAATATGAAAAGAGAATATGAGAAAAAATGAAAAAAAAATATTAGAGGGAAGGGGTATTCTAATCTAGAGACATGAATTTCAGGTAATTTATAAAGTGATGAACCAAAAAGTCAATCAATATTTTTACAATCGATTTTTTTTTTTATCAGTTATTTATTAATGCTACAAGAGTACAGAAAAAAATGGAAAAAAAGTTAAAAATTTAAAAAACTGGCGGCTGATGAAGTGGGGGTTTCAAAAAATTAGGCACACCCATGATTTCAACCCTCCTAGTCATCTAAAAAGGTTATCAATCTGCAATGATGACGCGATAAGTAAAAAATCTATTTTTTTGAAATTCTACACTAGAATAGCCACTTAAAAATATAGAGTCTCCCAAGAACTGGCTTTTGTATACGGATTCTGCAAATATATAGTTAATTGTATTAACATATTTAAGATCCACATTAATAAAATATACTGCTAGAACTTTATTAATATTAATTACTAGCATAGCATAACATAGCATGACATAGTTTGCCGATCTACTTTGTCTGTGGCGTCAACGCCTACGGTGAGTGGTGTCATGCTTATGGCTACAGTTGCTTTAACGGGAAGCAACTCGCTGCGCTTCATTGAGACACACCTTTACTATAGAGCCAAACCACATAACACACACCCATTGAAAAATAGACATGCTGATATATATATATACATCCAGCTGTGTGTACATAAATAATACACAGGTTGGTTGTCACTTCGCCATGCGAGTTTCAACTGACCACCCGTTGGCGATAAAAGCTTACAAAGTCAACCGCAAATACCAACAACGAGCATACATTACAACAACACGAATACACTACGACGAACAAACATTAAAAGTGTTAACAATGAAGAGAATGTTGCTCGTTGAAAAATAGATCTGCTATTATCTGCCATTGAACTCTGCCAACGCTGCCACACACTAAATGTACTTAAAAATTTTTTTCCACTTTTATGTGGTCGCTTCTTAATTAGTATGGAGCGTTGGTTCTACTGAATTGAAGAACTTCGTTAAAAGTTGCTCAAAAAATGATCTCTTAGAACTCCCTCATTACTCCTCGCCCTGCAACTGAAGAGCAGTAGTAAATAGATAAGCTTTTGGTAGACCTAACTTGCAGACATAGTATTTTTAAGAAGGAAGAAGCCGTACAGAAACCTCAAATCCCCCTGTGGTGTCATAAATCGGTTTTAATTCGAAAAACATACTTCTTCGCTGAATTATTTCCATACCTTTTCTTACTTAGAAGTGACAACAAATGAAGTTGATTTATTGGCAGGCAAACAGAGAATCTTATAACGCCACATCGTACAAATCGCATTCGACGAACTGTTTTGGTTTGGATGGATAGACGGGTTGTGTTTTCAAAACTCGTACGATTTGAGGGGAGAACTTTGGCTTGAACCATTTTTAGCCGTTAACTGTCGACATGATAATTTCTAAGATTATGTCAGGTACCAAAAATTCAATCTACATCATATACAGATTAGACCAGAAAGAAATAAGCAAGGAAAGCAGCACACGGTACTGAAAAGCATAAAAGGTTAACTTTAGCGGTGTGAAGAATTTATATAACCGACTTGATGATGCATGCATAAAAGTGGGAACTATTTTTGTTACATAATTCTCCACATGTGTTCCACATAGGTTCCACTTATTAAGAACCGGAAGACCTGAAACATCTAATACTAATATATATAAAAAGTTAAAAAGATCTGAGTTAAAAAATTCTGCAGACACGCAAATGAATAAGAAGATAATAAAAATCATTCAACTGCTAAGTAATAACAAGCACACAATGCAAATACGAGCATACAAAGTAACAGCCGAACCAATCAAGCAATAATCGCCAAATTAAAAGGGACGACAAAGAAGAAAAATGTTCAATAAATATATTAATAAGCGAATGTAAGTATGGACTTCAACAATTACAACAACAACAGCAATGATATTTAAAAATAAAATATTCTTAACAATAACAACACCAACACACTGTCAATAAACAATATTTCTTTTTTGTTGTTAGCTTAAGTCTCGTTTAAGGCTTATTTTTTTAATACACACATATTTGTGCTGGTAAGTGTACATATGTGCGTGTGTGTATGCGTTGGCCGCGCTTGAAACGGGTTTTGTGATTTTTGTGATTGCGAAATTCTGGTCTAAACGTGCGACCAAGTTGATACATCGCTTGTGCCTGCGCTTATATACCTACCCAGTTTTTTTATATACAAAGGAATTAATATACTATGTAAATATATAAATGTATGTATATAAATAGCAATGGTAGTATATATGCTTATGCTAGAGAATGGACTGCCTTTGAGCCAAACTTGAATTTCGTATTTAAGATTTCGCTATTGGATGCTTACCGTTTGGGTATATAAAATAGTGTTGCAAGTGCTTTGTTGCTCTTTGTAATTTCAGTTTTGCGTAAAATTTATTTTATTGTGAAAAAAAAATTACAGTGCATTTGTTTTTCACCCATGCGTCGTATATTTTAGTTGAAATAAATGTATATATATTATATATGTGTATAAGCGCAACTTTTACTACTTTTTTAGTTTTTTTAATACTTTTTATTCACTTATTATTAAATTTTTGGTTTATATTTTTATTTTTTACTTTTTTTTAGTTTCTTATAATTTTTAGTACACTTTTGTTAAGAAAACAGCGGCAAATTTTTGCTGTAGTGCAAAATTTATTTTTATTTTGTTTTAAATATGCATATACACATGTATGTCACTTATGCAAATTTTTTTCCTAAATTTTTACATAACGCCATTTAATAGCAAACTTTTTTTAAATTTATTATTTTTTATTAAAATAATATATTTTCATACATGCATACATATATCATATGTTAATTACTTTTTATGCATTTATACATATAATTATTATTTTCTGTGCTTTTTTTTTATTCGGAGTGAACTGTAATTTTTTTTATTTTTTAAAATACGAAATATTCATATTTTTTTGTTAATATTTTGGCATACATTTATTTTGGTGCATAAGTATTTTTATGTAGATTTTTTCCTAAAAAAATCATATTTTCTCAATTTTTTTCGCACAATATAATACAAAAAAATACATAGTTAAAATTAAAAAATTTTATTATTAAAAATTTTTTAAATTTAAATTTTTAAAATTTTTTCTTCAAGCAATATAACTCGAAAATAATATTTGTGAAATTTTTTCAAAAATGTTGCACTTTTAACCACAATTCTCAGCACTTCCAACTATAAATAGCAACAGTTTGGAGTGTTGCTCACACATTTAACGCTACTGTCGCGTGGTCACGCTTGTCAACTGCAGACGAATTTGCACCTACCCGCACACATGCATACTCATTTCCACACAGTAAACTGAAAAAGACACACACAAACGCGATTCGATTACAAATCAGCCAAATGTGCGACAGAAATTTTTGTTTGATTTTTTCCACACACTTCCGTTTGCTCAATTTATTTCAAAAACAAAATAAACCAACGGAGTATATTTAACTTGTTTCACTTGCATACAATCGCAAAGGCAGCTACAAGCTACGCTAATACAAAATGCAATGCCAAGTATACAAAGCGGCGCGTTTAAACTGGATCCAACGCGTCACGGCGACCGGTCAAAAACAAACTGAAAGCAAAGTCAAGCGTCTGTGGAAGCAACAGCCGAGTCGGCACAGCACAGCACAACACGGCATAACGCAACGGCAGCGGCAGCGTCGAGCACGACTACTCCACCTGGCCGGTTGCGGTGCGTCTCCAACAATGTGGAGGTGGGGAACGGATGGCGCCATGCTGCTGTCGAGCTCGTGTGTACAACAACAATAAGAATACGCTTAACGTACGATGGCAAGCAACATGTTGCACGGTGATTGATCTAACATGTTGCGCGAACATGTTGCAGCGTGCTTTACTGTGCGCATGCATGTGTGTTTTTGTGTTGGTGTTGGCGCGCACACACACATTTATGTGTTGTTTCGGCTATTGCAGTCACCTATAAATATACATACATATGTATATACATAAATATGTATGTAGGCAGCGGCAATGCAATTGTTGTCGTTGCTTTGTAGTTGTTCTTGTTGTTGTCCAATTTTGGATGTTTCTTCAAGAATGTTGAGGTGAAAATAAAGAAAAACTGGATGCACATACATGCATATACTATGTGTCGCTATATACCAGTAGGTATGCGTGTATTTATTTCTGCTTGGCAGTGCTTATAAGCGTTTTGTTGTTGTTGTTATTATATTGTTATCTAAATGCTGTGACATTGTTGATGTTACTAAGAGAGTTTTTAATTCTTGTTGATCACGCTACATTATACCCTGAACAAGCTATATTAAGTTTGCCACGAAGTTTGTAACAACCAGAAGGAAACGTCAAAGACAAATTTAGGCACGAGTTGTTGTTTACGGCAACAATGGATTCTCCGAAGAAATTGTTCAGATCAGTTCACTATATCATATAGCTGATATAAATTATAAATAATTGTAAGGTAACTTTGTATATGTGAAGGGTATTATAGCTTCGGTGAAACCGAAGTTAATGTTTTAAATATGCATTGTTATTGCTGTTGTTGTAATTTTACTCTCATTGAATCAATTTTTTGAGTTATTGTAGTATCACTGTGATTGTATGGTTTGTTAATTTCACTGTTATTATAAGGTTATAAAGGGTGGAACATTTTTGGATACTTTAATTCTCTTAATAACGGATTAAAAGACAATGATATGCCGAAGACACCTTTACTATTATCAGCAAGAGTTATCAGCAACGCATTCAAGGGCACGCTTTGTGTAACATTAAACAAAATGAAAAAAAGAACGTTAACCGAAGCTATAATGCCCTTCCCAAACACATCAGGTTCCTCACCAATTCGCACAGCAGCCGGTTCTACGTTGTCGGAATTGACCTGGCTTTTATACGGCCAAAGGCTGTTATTTCGGCGATCTAATCCCGTTTGGAGCGGTGAGTTTTAGTTAACATATGCTTTCTTAAAGAACTTGATTTTGCCCGGTCACTTTGTATGACAGCTATATTCTATATTAGTACGATCACAATTTTCCCTTTCTTCGTAGATTGCACCGATGCCTGGGACAATATAACATGCCAAATTTTATGAAGTTATTTTGTTCTTCAACTTACATATATGGCAGCTTACGCTATAATGAGACGATATCAGCGGCTTCGACAAAGGAGCAGCTTCTTGGGGAGGAAAAAATGTGCGTTATTTTAAAAACTGAGGGACTACTTCGCATATATACAGACAGATGGACTTTTTTTAGGTTTCATCCATGGAGAAGGCCAGAATCACCTTTTGGTTTAGTGCCGTCGGAAAGCGCGTGTAGCTCGAAAATATTTAATTTTTTCTTGAAAAATTTTGTTTTGTATTCTTAAAAAATGCATAAATAAATATTCATACAATCAACATTTTTTTAGACTATCATATTTGCATAGGTAGGTAAAAGCAGATGTGCTTTGTCGAAACTACTAGAACAAGGAAAAGTGCTTATTAGGCTGCATACCTCTTTCCCATTTGCCGCGGGTATTAAAGCCAGTAAAATTCAAATTATACTCACCAATCGGTCACTCGCTTGCAGCGGCGCTAGTTCATAGATATTTAATTAACACTTAATGGCTATTGTCTGCACTTCGCTAATCACTCACTTGTTCGATGTAAAATTAATGACTTCCACATATAGTAAGCGCTATAGTCTGCACACTTGTGCATATTAAAATGCATTCATTCAATGAATTAAAATTTTTTCACTTTGAAACTCTCCGTTTTCCATTTGAATGCATTATTATTTAGATTTAAAAATTATGTTTTAACCTCTGTTGCTTATGAGCATTTCTAAGGTCGCGTCAATGTAAATATGTCTACAGATTTATAAGTACACATACGCTTTAGAGTTGCTAGCTTTAGCTGTGTTTTTTATTGTCTTTTGTTGTTGCATTTATATGCTCGCCATATACTCGTCCATATATTATGCTTTCGATTTCGAACTTCAATCTTTCAATATCGTTTTCATCACATTATTCTGGTTGCATTCATATAATTTTGGTTTTTGTAATTTTCTTTACTTTCTTTTTTCAATAAACCATCTCACTTGACTCGTCGTCTCGCCACTTTTTATTCATTAATTTAATTTTTCGGTTTTTCTTGTTTCGATTGCTTCAGTAAATATTAGTAACAGCTATGGGCGACCATAAACTTTCTTCCACAAATCTGTTAAATATCATTTTTCTTATTTCATTTTATGTTTACCAACTTTACTATGCATTAATTTATTTTTATTAATGTGACTAGGCCCAAGCTTCTACCCCAGAGAGTTGTAATCACATGTATTATAATACTAGTATGAAATGCTATCAATGAGCGACGGCTACTTGAGGCTTTCGAAATAACTTTCACTTTTATGTATGAATCAGTAAAGAATATTAAAGTGACAAATAAATTCAAACCCACCACTTCAATATTTTAAAACAATTTTACAAATAAACTCAAGTAATTATTTTTATCGGAGAAATCGCCTGATTTCATCTAGACATTCTTAACTAGAATATTTCTCTGTTAAGTTCTAGCATACTGAAAAATTGTTACATGGTGCGACCATGTTCTGGAATGAAGAAGAAATATCAGAAATTGAAAATTGAAATGAGGAATATCACATTTCAGCAGCTTTCGTTTGCAACGCTAAATGGAATCTGAAAAAAAAAACATAAAAATTATTTCAGTTTAAGTGGAAAAAGTTCCATATTTTGGTATTTATTGTTGCTATTGTATTTATTGTATTTGGTGTTTATTGTTGCTATTGTATTTACCGTAGATTTAATAATTTGTAATGCCTGCCGAAAATTTAAGATGGCAGAGAGTTACCTTTTGTGCCTCTCTGAATGGATCTTGATTCGACCAAAAACTTTGTCTCAATATCTTGACATTGGTACTTCCAGCGATTATCTAAAAAAAAACGTTGCTGATACTAGCAACTGAAATAATCTATGAGAAGCCGGTCAAAACTTCTGAAGGAAAGCAAAGAACGTTGAAAATCATAGAAAATAATCCCACTTAAGAATTAGAAAACATAAAAAGATTAAAAGAAAAAAGACAATAGTTCCCATACTTCGACATATCCAAATGATTTTACTTCCTGAAAACTCACAATAACACGCAACGTTTCTCAGTGTCCTCTAACTTCAACAACTTCTCACCATAACTCTCTTGTCGCATAAAATTATGCAAATTACATGTTGTTGCTCTTATAGTTTAGATTATATGTGTGGCTGTATGTAAATTCAACTTTGGGTTACCGACATTGCATATTTAACGTACGATTGCTCAACTAACAGCTTAACTGGTCAACTGATTTATGAACTGCTTATCTGACCCACAACACCATAAACATGCAGAGTATTTGCTGGTGCTAGCAAAAGGTGAAATATACATGTATGTATGCAATATATGTTTCATATGTACATATATATATATATAGCGTCCACACGAATTCGAAAATTATTCGTGCATAAAGGGAGCTCAGCAAAATAGCTTATAAAAATAGATATCAACTTGAGTATACGAGTACATAAATAAGAAGCTTATGCGAAAGTAGAAATTAATAAAAAGAAGAATGCGATCGCGTTTTTGTAATCTATTGAGTCAATTTTGCATAAGTATGGTCAAATTGAAAGATGGACACTGCGAAATCGCCAGAGAGGAAAATGTCTGTTATAGAAACTAGTGTAAAAGAGCTGACTTCGAAAGATATATATTGCTATCAGATTTACCTCAAAACTAATATAAAAGAAACAGGTGAATATTGTGTTATATCGACAGAACTTTTTCTATGGCAATATGCAGTCTTAGAATTTAGATATAATCCCATAATTAGAGCCAACAATTTATGAATCCGAAAGCGACCACATATAGTTTACATTTCCTTACAATATGCAACAACTTGTTCTTGGTAGCGACTTTTTCATATTTATTCAGAAGCACAATGTTTTAGAAAGTAGCATTGAAAGTTCCAGAAGATTAGAAATCTTCATTAAGCAAGTGGTTGTATAAAGTAGTATTCGTTTCACTTGAAGTCACTTGGTAAGCGACTAAGCCACACAAAGAATACTTTTGCACACTGTTGAAAACGATAACTTGAAGTCAGTGAAAATAGAACATTTGAAAACCAAGACCATGCCACAGAATCTTACAACAAAGAAAAACCGAATATTTGATTGAATTGAAGGCACGCAGTAAAGAAAGTTTGAAATTATAGATTTGCTTCTAACCTTTTCTTTTAAAAAGGTATCACACGTTAAAGAACACATTCTCTCTTTAAACGTATGTTTCAGAGAGACGCACATAGTTTTTCCATCACTTGGCAGAGAACTGTGTACTTTCTATTAAATTCTTGTAAAAGATTAAGTAACCATAATTAGCGTCGTTATAATCCACGAAGGAGTACGATTTTAAGTTATATATTAATAAAAAATAAAAATACTTATTTCGTAACGACTCATTTTGTTATGCGTCTAAAACGGTGTTGCAATGCGAAATCTATAAATGCTTTGTGTTACCTTTATAAAGATAATTAAATTATATATACTGTGTTCTATTAATTGGCCAACTAAGCAGCCAATT